GGAGGTGGGGGGAGACGGAGCGGTGCCGGGGTTGCGGTGTCTCTCCCGGGCCCGAAGCTGCCGGTTGCCCGTGTCTGTGCCGGTGTGTTGGCCACAGCTGTCGTACGTGGGCGTGCGGTTCCCTCTGTGCCCCCCAAGAAATTTGTTTGGTTTGGGGGCAGAGGGTCTAACCCACCTTTTGATCCCCTTCTGTTTTTATTTAAAGGGTGCTCTGCTTTTTTTTTTTTCTTTCTTCTTTTCTGTGCATATTTTGCAAGTTCGTTTTGGATAAATTTGCAGTTCTGCATATTGTTGCTGTGGCAGCTTTAGTAAAGAATTTTAATAAATTTAATAAAAGCTACTTTGTGCTTTCTTTACAGGAAAGCTTAACGTCGGCGTTGACACCATCCAGCATGGGGTGGAAGGCCTGGCGTATCTTCTCACTGAAAGCTCCAAGCTTATGGTAAGGGCGTCCCTGTGTAATAAATTCAGGGACACGCTCAAAAGATGTCATCTAAACATTTCTTGTTCTGAAAATACTGATGAATGGGGAAAACCTAGTTCAAAATTCTGATGATATGTATTCTTTTAATTCTTTCTTTTTTTTAAAAAAAGGTGTTTGTTATGCTGTTCTCTTACTGAAACACTGCATCTGCGTGGATGATGGGAATTTGTATTCAGCATCTGAAGCTAAAGCTTGGCCATGTTTTAACAGCATATAGCAAGAACACGCAGTAATTTAGTCCCTATAGAGAAGCGTACTTCAGGGTTGAGCTTTGTTCTAAAGAGCAAAACCTGATTTTGTTGCTGCTGTTCTGTGCAGGATGTGTGCAGTACTAACCCTTGTGCAGTACTCCTTACGTTTGGCTGATGTGGCTTTTTCAGCTCCTGACATCACAAGTTTGGATGGGTGTAAGCAGTTATTAACAGAATAATAGCTGGATAATTGCTCTTTTTCACCTGAAAGACTGTTTACTGTTGATATAGTAGAATATAGATGTGGAGAAGGGATATGGAGACAAGCCATCCCAAACTGAACTTGAGCAGACGTTGTTCTGAAGAGCAGGTGGGGAAGGGATTGAAATATCGTGGAATGTTCCCTTGAAGTAAGGGAAAACAGATAAATTGTAGTGTGTTGTGGCAGAATAGAGTAGATGGCAGAATGTGTTTATGGTATGAATGCTTTGTGAAGGCAGGACGTTTTTTGTGAGTAACTAACTGCTTCCACAGGGGTGAACCAGCTTCTCCAGAGCAGCACAAAGGCATTGACCAGTGAAAATTGGCTTCTTGGGGCTGCTCTGAGTTACTGTAACGTGAGCCGTGAAGTTGCACCTGGTGCTCGTTTACGTGTGAAGGCATTCAGATCATTTCAAAGTATTTCCAATTTGAGTATCAATATTATGTTAGCATTCTGTTGATAAATTGGTGATGGAAATATGCACTTCCTCATGACAAAGCTCAGATACCTTTTTTTGTTCTCTGATATGAAGGCTTAAATGTGAGGATGCTGAATGTTTTTCTTTTAAAAAAAAAATGTTCTTAAACTGTTCCTGAAGCTCATGCAAATCAAGAGTAATACATCAACACGTGTAAATTGCTTAAAACGGGGATGATTTGTTTTGTCCTACCTGTACAATTGTCCTCACACATTCCTGCAGGAAAATAACTGCACCGTACCATATGTGTACTGTTTGCTTACAGTTTTATTGGTTTCTCAACAGATAATGATTTTTACACAGTTCTGATTAAGACCTAAATTGTTATTTCTAGATTTCTGAAGTAGACTTTCAAGAATCCATTCATGTTCTGGGATTCTCAGATGAATTGAACAAATTATTGCTGCAGCTGTACCTGGATAACAGGAAAGAGATTAGAAGCATCCTTGGTGAGCTGACACCAAAACTTCCCAGCTATCACAGTCTGGAATGGAGACTGGACGTGCAGGTAACTTCTATGTTTTCAATATTCTGTTTTTTCCTTTAATTTTTTTGCACATTGTAACCAACTACTAAAAAACTAATGGATGTTATTTCAAGTAATTGAGGCAGCAGTTTTTCATTTATTTAAAACTGACATAATTTTGTTATTGCTAGGTATAAGATGAACAGGATATGTAATGATGTAAAGTATTTGTTCCTTTATGGAAACTGAATTAATAGCTCTGTTGGTGTTTTAAAAATGTTAGCATATATATGATACATTCAGCCATAATTATCACCTAATTTTCAGAAAAATTATGAAAGCATTAATTAAAAGGGATTAGTATTGCCTGATGATAAAACCAAATAATAGATTGTGTATATCTTTAATGTGGATGAAAAGGATTTTTGAACAGTCCTCCAAGCAGGTCCTGCAAACCTGTTGTGAATTGTAAATATGAAAGCTGATAACCATCTTCATTCGTTTGTTTCCCTGTTCCCGTTCCAGCTTGCAAGCAGAAGTTTGAGACAACAGATAAAGCCTGCTGTGACTATAAAGCTACATCTTAATCAGAATGAAGATCAAACTGCCCAAGTGTTGCAAACCGACCCGTCTACCCTCCTCCACCTAATTCAGCAACTGGAACAAGCGCTGGGGGAAATGAAAACCAACCACTGCAGGAGGATAGTGCGCAACATGAAATAGTATTGATTCAAGGCTGTTGTCATAGTAAGCAGTTTGTGAAACAACTAAAAATGATGTTCACAAATACATTGTGAGGAAAAATAAACATCTGGATCAGATGAAATGCTTTCCTGTGCCAGGATCTTGAGCCAGTAACTAGAGGCTGAATGTCCTCTGGTGCTAACTTTGCACCTGCCTGATAGGAGATGGGTAATTGGCTTGGCTTTGCTTGCACATGTAGAAATTCAGCCTGCTATGCTGAGAATTTCTTTTGCTCTAAATTAATATAGTTCTACTTGAAGAGCTTTCCTACATTAAGTAGAGCTGCCTCAATACTGCATGAAGCTGCACATTTATTTTTACGTTTATTAAGCAGCTTTTTTTCTTGGTTTTGCATCTGTTTTGAATTTTTTTTTAAGACCCTATACTGGTGGGAATGATACCTTACAGGAATGTTTCTTCCATCTAGACTCGTGTATGTATAAGAGTACACGTGGGACGACTGCTCTTTTCCTCCAGAGGATTCAGCCAACTCGAGGCTGGGTGTTGCACTGCTTTTCTACCCTTCTTGGATAATGAAAAAAAGTATAACTGAGCTTACACTTCCATTTTAAGAAAGCTATCTATAAACCCTGCTAGGCAGTCTACTTTCTGCGGGTAGTAGTTACCATAGAAAACTCAGTGGCCTAAACATAAATTAGTGTACTGCTTATTTCTGTATGTCAAGGTGATCTGAAAAATTGTAAAATGATGGGCTAAGAGGCAGATTAAAGAATAGTGTTAACTTCTGCTGAATCTGTTCTTCATGTTGTGATGCAACAATTTTTGTTCCCCTGCTTGGATAGTGTACTTATAAAGGAAAGACTAGCTGAGTATTGCAATACAAGTAATGCTTTTCCATTTTTAAGGAAAATGTCTAGCAAAGATTATGTCAAAAGTCACTTTTCAGTTGTATTCTAATGCAATATTTTGTAGCTTTTGTGACTAAGGTTAGATAGTTTTACTTATGAATGTTTTACTGTCACTAGTGAGGGTGCATCATAAATCTCTTAAAGTATATTGGAGAGAGCAGATAGGCAAGAGAGAATCTTAATGTGGAGATTCTGGCAATAAGTGTATATTTCCTGTCTTTCATAGAAACACCTCACATTTCAAATTTATTGGGTTCCCACATGTACAAATGCATTATTTTCATATTGTTTTGAATTTTTGTACTATTTCAAATGAAACATGCGTAGGAGAAGTGCTTTCATCAATAACATTTAGTACCACTTAAAAAAAGTCAGTTTTCTAGAAAATGGAGGTGCTTATTCTGTAACTGCTTTACATGGCTTGGTGATGGTGTGAACAAACTTATTTTCCTCTCGCGTATATGACTCAGCCGTGTGTTTCATTTACCATCCTTATGCGGTGATTTTTTTTTTTTCTTCACATATAGTGTGTGGTAATTAAACGTGAGCAAATGGTACTACTTACGATTTCTGATTAGTATTTTTGCATGTAATTGCCTATGTTTTCAGGTGAAATACAAGAAGAGCCTGTTTGTAGGACAGTGTTTTCTCTTTATTCCACCTCTCCTAACTGTAGCCGTAGTCTAGAACTCATGGCAGCAAAATACAAGTTGTAGATATAAGCCTTGGAACATTTTCATGTCTCGTCTCACTACTGCCTTATGAATCTGAACGTATTTACCTTTCTGTCTCTTAAACTTTTTTTATAAAAGAAAACTAGTTGCCATAGAGCTAGTTGGCATCATGGTTGGCAATTTATGTGTGTCATATCCTGAAGCATGTGCTGGAAGAGAAGGGAAGGGGTTCCCTCGGTGATCATGAGTGAAATGGATAGTTTAAAGTGGATTTTGTGAATACAGAATGTCATTAGAAAGCCTGCATATTCCTTTTTTGAAGCTTATTACAATAGTGTAAAAGTAAAAACTGTGACAGTGAATGGTCTTATTTCCTGAATTGAGGAACTTCCTTCCAGTACAGAGTTTCAACTGCACAGAAAAACTAAAAATCCAACTAGTTTAAGCATAAACTATTTTCTTAAAAGCAGAGTTAGGCTCAGCCCTTAGCTATACGCTTCTCAACAGATTTGTATCCCAGTTTATTTTTTCCTGGTCTAAACAGCAGAGGGCAGAAAGTTTGGGTTTTTTATACTCAACAAAGGAGAAATTTTGCTATACAGTAATTTTCAGTGTTTGTCTTTCGATAAGAATCGTTTATAGTCTGAAGACTTACCTTGGAATGTATTTCGCTTTATCTTTTCCAAATTCATGATCAATTTTAAACATAAAACAATAAAACTTGCAGTTTTCAACCACTGTAAAACGTTGTTTCTTGAATCTGCTACTTTGCAAAGCTACTTCGCAAAGCAAATAATGTAACTCAATTCTTAAAACTCAGGGTGATGTAATTTCTTTGGTGGTGTAAAATGTTTATATTCTTCTAAGCATTGAGGAAACTCAAGAAGCAACACTTTTTATCCTCCTGTTTTGTTGTTTTGGGTTTTTTTTAAATCCTTTTGAATGACCTCTGAATGAGCACTGTCCTTCTTGTAAAATCCATTGCTTAAGTTTCTGATCAAACTTTTAATGAATTCCCCATCTCTGAAGCATATTTAGACTCTCCTACAAGCTTTGTCTTCTTGTACTTTTCCTTGTCCTTGTCATTCTTCCTTGCAAGCTTTTCGTGTACTAACTAAACACTTTTCCACCTTTTAATTGGCTAATTAATTGGATGTTCCTGGAATTATATGGGGAAAACTGTTTTAATTTAAACAGCAATGGAGTTAGTTTAGATCTACACATATATAAATAAAATCAGTATCTGAACTTTGGATTAGGCCTACAATTCTCACTTAACAGAAACCCCACTGAATTAAGATTTTGTCTTAACACTGTATTTTCAATTTAATGTTAAAGGTGTTAGACCTGTTTTAAATTTAGTGCTGTTTATGAAATGTGTACATGTATAGGCTTGAGGTATGAATGGTGATTTTGTTTCAGTTCCAGTTCTTGTAAGAATGCCTGTTTCCTATACTGTGTCTTTGTAATATTAACAATAGATAGTGCGTAGGAAAGGAAGTCCAAGATTAGGAATAACCTGGCAAATCTCCATGGGTAAAGCTTTGCTGTTTCTTACTTATCTAAATAAAGGGAAGGAAGTCTCCTGTCGCTCTGTGCCTGGCTCTGTGGTCAGGGTCAGGTATACTACAGCACAATCTCTTTTTTTAAATACTAACTGATTTTATTTTCAAGGAAAGTATAAATTGTGGTGGTTTGCTTGCTGCAGTTATATCTTGAAATCGGAAATTTCACTCACCCATCTGATTATTTGTATCAATAGAAAACACTACTATTTCATTTAGGGTTCTGGATTTTGATTTACTTGAAATGTGTCAGGCTTTAAACATTGCCAGTAGTTCTACTGAAGATGGAGTCACAAGCAGACTGCTTTTACGTGCACAAAAGTGCCATTTTTACTGTGACTGTATAATAGAATTTTAGAGTACATTTTAGGTATTACCATGATTATCAGCTTTATGACTTGTTTATTCTAGATTCCTTATGGCAACTTATTCTAGATACATAGGACAGGCAACCCTTCAGTCCATGTGTCAAATCAGTGAAGTCTGTTAAGAGGAACACCACTCTAAAATAGCTGGATCCTGATTGTCCCAAAATGTGAATATTCTGGCTAAAATACAAGCCATAATGTCTAAATATGCTGCCAAACACTTTTAATAGCTTTCTTCCCACCATTAAATACTTAAGAACCTTCTACTGATCTTGTTCGTTTCCTTTCCATTTCTACTGTTCTGTCAAAATGTTATTTTTCTGGAAAAGGAAAGCTTAAGTGTACAGAATAACAATGAATTTCACTTTATGGAACCTTTATCTTGCTCTATAGTGTGCTGGTCTGTGCACATTCAAAGTAGTATTCCTAGTGCTCAGAACAGATACTTAAAATATCAGAACTGCAGAAGTCGGGAAGCTTCTCTACCAGGCCTTTCAAGCATCCTGTGTTCCTAGATCTACCATAAGATAACAGAAAAACTTCTGTTAGGTTTGTCTTTAGCAGAAGCCTTAAGAAAGCCCTAATTTTAGAGAAATCCCTTGGTTGGTACTTACACCATTATTGAGACAAAGCCTTTTGTAAACATTTTTGTTTTGAATTTCAGGACAGGACATTTTGGTTAACAGTTTGACATGGGTGGTCTTTAAAATCACCCTTGTTTACGCTTTTCTACATCCAAAAGTACCTTCCAGATAATAATTTCCAGATGTAAGAATTCACAAGTTTGCCAAATACTTCTCAGTTCTTGCTGGGGATTGCAGTTTTGGGTTTTGCTGACTGACTGTAAACAGTCTGAAGTGGGAAGTGTGAACATCTCAGCCTGTAGTGTCGGAAAAGCTGGTCTACTGCAGTTGGCTAACTTTGCATGAACCCAGACCATGCATAAAGTGTTTGGATGCTCCCTTTGGCCAAGTGAGCCCTCTTGGATGGTAACATCCAGGTAGCAGATGGTCTCAAGTGGTTTGAGGGATGAGAGCAACTGGAACTGTCCCAAGCAGATCTAAAATAAGATAATCGGTGTTTGGAGAACCCCGAGTTCCAGCCCCAACAAAGGTAATCTGAGATCTTTTGAGAAACTCTGTTGCAGAAAAAAAAAAAGATGCAGTAATCTGTCTTGATTTTATAATTATTAGAGGTTGTGGCACTTGGTGAAAAAAGATTTTTTTCAGTGATCTTTGCTGCTTCATGTGATCTGAATATCAAAGGAACTTCCTTCTAACCATGGCTAATTTAGGGACGTGTTGTAAAATTGCGTATCAGAAAGAAATCTAGCACAGTCTCATAGTAGATGCAATCAGGAATTCACAAGAAAGTAAGTTATGTGCCTTTTATAGATCAGTCAACAAATATCCTGAAAAGGATACAGACATTTTGAGTGCTTCTAGTTAGGTCAGTTTTACCATACAAAGTTTTCTTTTTAATTCTTCTTGAATAAGTTCTACAATCACACCTTTTAATGCTATATATTTTTTTAATGGATGGAGCTGTTTGCCTGTTTCTGTCCAGCTAAAGAATAAAGGCTGTCATTGCTCTGCATGCTAGCACCTGCTCTGGGGCTTTTTCCTGCACAGCTAAACACAAAGGGACACAAAGAGGAGAAGCACTTCTCTTCCTCCTTTGCTGGCTCTTTTTTGCTGTCACCTACGTGCTCAATGGCAGGACCACATCTGAAATGACTGGGTTTAGACTGGTCAACTTTAAGACTTCCTAAAACAACAACTTGCCCCTCATCCATGCTTGTTCTCCCACAAAGGTTAAAGTAGTTAGTATCAAGGATGACTTTCTGGGCAAAAAGAACACACATAATGAAAGCAGGGGATACTGACCATGAAGGTTACTTCTACTCATTGGGGGAAATGGAGGATCCTGCAATTCAAAAATACGTGGAACAAGTTCTGTAGGCTTCATCTTCTGCAGAGAGGGGGAAAGGTGAAATATACAGCGCTGAGCAACATTTACAACCAACAACATGTGTTCAAGAGGTGTTAAGAAATATGACTGCCTTTTTATTTTTTTTTTATTTACACACACACCTATCAGGTGACAACTGGTACATTTTAGACTAAAAGCAGTAGCAGGATGTCAGAATAATTAGGCTCTGTTTCAAATTACCCCGATGAGCTTGAGCAAATCATACACCCTCTGTATTGGACACAGGAAATTCAAGCTGGAAGACTCTCACAAAATATGAAATCTAACTATAATTAAACTATTAGCTTTGTTTTCTGGCAAAATCTACATCAAAAAACCCTCTCCATGTACATGCAGTTTTAGTAACAGAAAAAAGAAAACTGTATCTTACTGTGTATTTCTGCAAGTTAAATTAGCTAAGCTAGAAACAGTACTTTTTGTGCGGGTATGATTCTCGGTACTCTTCTACGCTACCCTACTGCTAAATTTTGCAGAGCTATTCCAGAATATTTTTTTCCTCTGTAGCTACTCCTGTGTATTTTCGTCTTGTTGGCTGGGTAATTATTCTGGTATTGTCAGCAGCCTTCGTGCAGGGAGCCAGACTGACATAACTGTTCCAGAACGACTCTTGCCAATAAGAGCGTACCGTATTAAGCAATTTCTTTTCTTCTTTTTGCAATTCTGGACTCTTATTCTGAAGCATCAGAGCAGATCAGGTCCCAGTTTATTTTACATGACTATTTTAGGACTTATTTATCCCACAGAACTTGGCCAAAAATCATCTTCCAAATCCGTGTTGAGTAACTGAAAGTCTTAAAGACTAGCTTGTTTTTCTGTCCTGTCCTTCAGACACAACCACCGTTTTCAGTAATGTCAATTTTTTTCCTGATCAAAGTCAGCTGTATTAGCAAACCTCATTTTCATCAGCAGGTTAGGCTACCTGAGACAAACTGATTATAGTGTGCCCGTGTCTTCTGCCCCACTGTCTGCTTGGGAGGGGGCACGCTAACCTCAGTAAAGAAGACGAAACAAGCAGCTCTTAGCGTGGTGACTTCTGACACAGCTTCAGCTCTTTGCAAACTAGACACTATGGCTTTTCCCAAATCACTGCTGCAAACTGTTTAAGTGTAATCTGACTGTACTGATGCAGATGAGCAGTGTTTGTACGTCCCATTCCACTGGCTTTGCTGCAAGGGGAAGAACTTCTGAGACACGAACGTAGTGCAATTTTCTGGTTAGCACAGCTGTTTCTGAAATTAATGTCTGAGCAGTCATCTACTATAGATGTTCACAGAGCTTTCTTGCCAGTAAAATTACATCAACTTATAAAACAACATGAACTAAGCTGACAGGAGTTCATTCTTTTTTTTTTTCCCCTAGCAGACTGTGTCCACGTTAGAAGTTTTGCTGGCTTGGAGAGGCTGGCAGGGGAGGTATGCTGACATAGCTACTTTGGTGAAACTTTGCAATATACACCAGGTCTTTGTATTAAAGAAACCACATCAGAGTTGGCTACAGAGGATAGGCTTTGTGTACATTCTGAGGTGCCAACTGAAGTCTGAAAGCTGTTAGCTACCTGAGAAACAAACAGGTGTGAAATGCACACAGAGAAAACCCAGAATCTTAAGCATTGACCCATTTGTTAAAACCACCACATTTACGGAAGTATACTTTTCCAGAAGTTCCCTTGAAAATTAGATTAATATAGAACTATTAGTAAGAGCATAATATAAAAAAACCTCTATCAAACAATAACCAATTGCCATAAGTGCAAATAAAAATTATTAATTTGCTTGACAAACTGTATGCTTTTTAAAGTGTAAATGTGTATGTATAACGCACACGTATACCTTTGCATAGTGAAACTTCATGTAACATGTTTACTGTTCCATTTTATTTGTTCTCCATTTATTTTGGGGGAATAGAAGCTTTCTTTTAATACATGACTCTTCTTCACTGAAGTATGCGAAAGCAAGTAGCTGTAGTTAATGACCACTTCAACTCTCTTTGTGTAGTGCACACCCAAACAGGAGACAGGAACTCTATATGCTCTTCCTGGTCTGTACTGTGTAACTGTTACTCAGTTACCCAGAAAGCATGAGATTTTTCCAAGGAATCCTGAATGCTTTATTTTATAAGAGGTATCACCCACACATCTTCACCTATGTAGACATTCTCAGAAAAAAGTTAACATATGTAGGGCTTTGATACAAAGCAGTGATCACTAGCAGTGATCACCCTTATCATTTAACGCAATCCCATTGTGATGGAAGTGTCGTTTTCTTCCATGGACTTAAACATTGAATCATATTTTATAAATGCTGGTGGTCATATCCTATTTTTGTGTTTAAAGAAGGAAGTTACTATTTTCTAAACAAAGAATACTAACAACAATACTATGAGAATTTATTCTTAGAGTTTCAACCACTTTCAGATCAGTGAAGAAAGATGCTTTGGCCTACACCAAGTGGTACAATAACAGCTAATTATATTATTCAGTAAAAAAGTTAAGCTGAAGTACATCTTTCTGAAGAAAACAGTTCTTGCTCTAATAAATACTGCTTAAGTTTAGAACAGATGGGCATATACTTACTCATGAGATGCCATGCCGTCTTATGGAAGTGGTCTAATCAATGTAGATGAGATGGCACCATGAATGAGATTATCCGAGCGTTACCTTGAATGGGCATGTCATCTGAAAAGGAATGTAAGAGGTAGATGGGTGTGTCGTTACTGAAGGATACAGAGGCCCGGAGGAAGCAAAAAAGCCCTTGTAAAGGCTGTATGAAGAATCACTTATGTTCAGATCATTATCTGTACAATAACCACATGCACACATACACAATCATCTAATATCCAAAGGTTTTAAACAAGGAAATTGGAAAAAAAAAAAAGAATATTTAATATCTGCATAACGCCGGAGCAGGTGCTGTAGTTAGCACAGCTGTCTGGGCCAGTAAAATGCTACCAAGCGACCCAGTAAGGAAGCAGCAGCAGAATGGTACAAAAGATAGCATGGAAAATTCTTAGGGAAAGGAAGCATAAACAAGTCTCAGGAGTACTGGGTTTCCTGACCAGAAATGTAACAGATGTGGCAAAAAAAACCCCTAACAAAACCAAGGAGGAGATCTGCCTCGCCAATGGAAACATGAACAGGAAATGTAAGGAAAAATAAATGACAGGGAATATTTGTTGAAGCAAGGAAATCAGGAAATGCACAAGCAAGATGTGTTCCCTAGAGCTAGCTGATCCTAATCCGGAGTTCATGCACAGGCTTAAACTGTGACTCTCAGAATCTGCATTACCAATATTAAAAGTAACAATGACCAAGGGACAAAGATTCTTCAAGGGTCAGATCAAAGTTCTAAACTGGAGAAGCCAAATGAAGTTCAGAATAGTTGATGCTGCTTCATAAGAAATAAGTAAAAGAATGAAATAAGTTCAGAAAAAATGTACTTACCTAAGACTTTTCTAATGTAGATTCTGATTACTGAGAAGGATGTGTTCTTATCAATCAGCACAGTCTGGAGTCTGTCCAAAATGCAGAAATAAAATGAAGAAACGCATTACTAAAATAACATGTGTTTCTATAGCCAATGTGTGATACTTACATGGGTGTAGTCATAAAAACACTGTATACTTCCTGCTGTGAAAACCAACATTGAAGTTGGAAAGTGAACAATATTATTCTTTATAGATGCAGCTACTGAATTTAAGCAGATTCTGGCCCCATCACCATTCAAAAGTTGTTCCAAGTGTACCAAAAAATGAGACAAGATGAAAAGAAGTGGTATGTATTACATTTACTTGATGGAAAGCCTCAGGAAGGCATTTTGATGACAGCTCTGGCTTCTAGTATGGACTAGAGGAACAAGTGACTGAGTGACTGTGAACAGGCCGTCAGGGTAGATCTGCAAAGTACTACAGCTGTATTTGAAATACCACCTATGGATAACGAGTTGGAAAGACTTATGCTGTAACTCTGCTCCGAATTTGTACCTGTCAGCAAAGGGCTAACCCTTACCTAAACTACAACAAAGCAGTATCATGGAATAGAACTACACACGCTTCCTTCCTTTTCTCCCCGTTGCCACAGCATCACGAAATTACTCCACAAAGTTTGCACGTGAACTAAATTAAGCATCGCTTTGCTTCCAGAAATTGGTATCACCTGTGAACTCCCCGACGAGCCGTTTCAAAGCAAAACTAATTAGAGCGACAGCAATTCAGGTGCACCAGGAGAGAAAGCGCCCTGAGGTTCCTTGAGCACGAAACCGGCGCTTTTCACCGCGCCGCTGCGAGGGAGCTGCCGCGGCCCCGGGCGATGGCCGGGCTGGGCCGCCCGCTCCCGCCGAGGGGCCGCCGCCGCTGCTCCCCGGGCAGCGGAGGGCTCCGGGCCGGCGGCGAGCGGGACCGCCACGCTCACCGGGAACCGCTTTCCCCCGGCCTCAGCCTGCTTCGTGCGGGGCGAGAGGGATGTGAGGACAGACCCCGGCTCTGAGAGACGTCCCGGCCGCGGCGGGCTCTGAGGGACACCCCGACGGGCCCGACCCGGCCCACGGCCCCGCCGCCCCCAAGGCCCCTCTGCTGGCGGAGTAGCGGCCTGGGCCGCCCCGAAGCGGTTCCGAGCACCC